ATTCATTTAAATAAAGAATTTAATCCAACGTCTTAAATTCAGTGCGGCATTACTTTTAACCACATACAAAATACTTTACGACTGAAAGCAGAGCAGTGAATGTAAGTCGAATGTTGTAGTTATACTTTTCTACTTGTTTTGTTAAAATATAGACTCTATTGAGTCACTTTAAAGTTATTCAAAATTCTTTTCATTTTACTCCAAGTGAACCTTTCCAACCTTTGATTCCAAACCTTTTTGGGGTTTAGAAAATTGAATTAAAAGGGGACCTTTGTAAATGGGTTTTGTGTTTGAATTCTATTCCTTAAATTCGAGACGATCTTTGAATTTAATCTTGTTTCTTTGGTTCAATATATTGAATTTTAATTTAATAAAGTTGTGTCAAGTAACCCATTCTTGACGTAACAGGGACTTTCCCCGAGTAATAAATATCGGAATAGAGAAATTGGGGGAAGAGTCAAGATTTTTCCCCGTGCAAAAAATTGAATATTAGCAATGGTCGAAATAACAAGAGTTTGTTTCATTGTTTGTCCCTTCTGTTTACAGGAATGAATTTGGGAATTCTTTAGATTATGAGCGCCAATTTATGTATTTTTTTCGAAATGTTCTTGAGTTATCAGCTTGGAGCTTGGGGTTTTAGCCCATAATCCTCTAACTCGGATATTTCGTTCTCCTCACACGGAGAAAAAAATTCAAGAAAACTTTCTGAATGTCCAAAACAGTGCTGAAGGGTAGAGGAGAGAGGGTGGAGGGAGTTGATTACCTGAGGTGTCATAAAATGCAACCAGGCCGGGTTATTTTACCTGTTTTTCAAATACACTAGATGAAAACATGGACACAAATTTTTTAGTTCAGTTGCAACCTTTGTGTCATTCACTTCGGTGCTTGCAAATTCATCAGTATTTTAAAACATAAGAATAAAAAAAATCGGTTTCATTTCGTTTTTTCATTATTTATATAATGTCTCATCGACATTATACTCTTGCGCAATTACAGCGAGATGTGGCTGCATATGGAACACCAAAACATTGGCTCCTCAGTATTTGTGAAGAAATATCGGAAGTGGTCTTTGTATTGAAAGACATAAAAAGTCATCCGCGGCTGTACTGCCGAGTATTGGAAGATATGTCAATTAAAGTAAGTGACTCATATATAAATATTCGTTTTTGATACGAGTGTGGAATAAGTTCCCTTAATATAAAGTTTCGAAAGTATCGAATAATACTTCTCAATGTGACTTTTATAGAGATACTATCCAACCATCAAGCAAAGCATGAGTTGAACGCTGCTTCACAGATGATGTGATGAAAAAAAGGTATCTTTGGTTTGTATTTCAACTTTTTTTTTCTTGCCTTAGATCGAAAGCCACGATGGGCTAGTGTTTCGTCGATATTCTGGACGTGCGGATAGTTATGAAACTGTGAATGAACTCTTGATCTACTTGTCCAAGCTGAGAATCTGCGTCGGGACGCAATGGTATGAAAATAGGTAAATAAAATCAGTGGCAATGATTTATCCCCATAAATTAAGGGTTGGAGCGGCGGGTGGGGAAGGAGAGGTGTTACTCCACATTTTAAGGTCCCTGAAATATTGAGGAACGAACTCGCATTTTTTTTTCTTGAGGGCAGACTCCTGTGAGTTTAAAAAATCACGGATTATTGGAGCGAGATTTCTCCTACGTCATTTATACATTGAATATATAGTGGAACGAAAGATGAGTGCAGAAATATTCATTATTCCGTGTTCTTTTGCCTTCCAAACGCATGAAAAAAAAAAATAGTCCAGTGTACCATAGTTCTGAGCTACAGAGGTTTTTTTTTCTCAAAATTCTTGAAAAAATGTGTGGAGTTACAATTACGAGCCTTTTTTTCCTTATTTGACTCCGGAATAATACAATTTTTGTTCTTTTATTGCCATCAATGTTGTTATATGTCTTCAATAAACGATTGAAATTTCCCAAATCCCATATGCGCAATTTCGTGAATAATCATCAACATTATTTTACAAAAAAAGAAAACAAAAAAAAACTGGATATTCTCAGGCATTATAATTATTTGGTCACCCAGTAAATCCCAATATTTCAAGGACCTGAGAAAGATGAAGTAACCCACTGTTATGTCGTAAAAATAATACAATTCATTCCAATATGTTATGATTATGTAGGCGTTCAACAGAATGCACAATTATCATCAATCAATGTGATATTCCATGGAATAATTACGGTGATCGACGATGTACGCACTGTGCTGCAGAAAGACGTCGTCATCAAAATACTGAATTTATACGGGAGAAAAGGAGAAGACTGAAATATGAGCAGGACGTTAAGCGAAGATCAGACTTCAAGAAAATGAAAAAAGAAAATTCAAAATTAGCTGAAGAAGTAAGTTCCATATTGGTTATTCACAATTTCTGCGACAACAGTTGCAAGATTAAAACTAAACATCTTTTTTCATTTACTTTTCTTATCATTATTTAGCTTGCAAAATTGAAAGAGGAATTGGAAAACGCGAGAGTCGCTCTTGCGACTGCGGATGAACGAGTTGTGGAGGAAGCGATTCGCCTGTTGCCGGAAGCACAACAAGAAGCGGTCCGTGCTTGTTTTGCGGCTTCGAAAGTGCGTGATCCAAGGGGGAATCGATATACTCTCAATTGGATTTACCATTGTATATTGCTCCGAATCAAGAGCCGTGCTTTATATGACAATATGCGACGCAATGAAATCCTTGCTCTACCCAATCCCAGCACACTCAATAACTATTTGAAAAATTTGCAGTGCGGCTATGGATTTCAAGAGGCTTTATTCGAATGCTTGAAAGAAAAATCGTCTCATATGCCCGATAGTGATAAAAGAGGTAAGAATAAGGAAAATAATCTTGTTTGATTCATTAAATGTTTCTCTCAACTCATTCTATAGATCATAAAATAATATCGCACGAACAAAATTTGGTTTTCATGTGAATGATTAACGTTAATGATCGATTGAAAGTTTGTCGCTTGAACCTCCGGTTCCCTCGCTGTGACGTCACAACACACTCTCACTTCATTGCTAACGTGCGAGAGAGATCGTGTGAGCCGCCACTGTCGGGGTCCGATGGGAGATCGAGTGAGAAAGAGACAACTCCCGTGCTGTAACGTCAGAGCACGCTTGAGATCGATTCTGATTGGAAAATGCAAATTGGAGTATTATAACAATTATTTCTGAAAGCATTGAGACCTTGATTGGTTTAATTCTACTCTTCTCCAGCGTAGAATACTCTACTCTGGCGTTGGGAATTATAAATAAAAAAACGCAATTTTCCACGCCATAAGAGATTAATTTATCATGAAACTTGATTTTCCAGGTGTATTGTTAATTGATGAAATGAAGCTCAGTGAAGGTGTATCCTTTGATACGAAGACCATGACATTCCGAGGCTTTACGGATCTGGGAGACTACACACCTGAGAACAAGAAAAACAAAGTTGGGGACCATGCACTGGTATTAATGTATCAACCCTTTCGTGGTACATGGGTACAGACAATTGGATGTTTCCTAAGCCAAGGGAGTGCTAATGGAGATACTCTTCACAAATTGCTTATAGACGCAATAGCATTGATGGAAAATTCTGGATTTTGCATTGACGCTATAGTTACGGATGGTGCGTCGTGGAATCGTTCTATGTGGAGATTGTTCAATATTGGAGAGCACCTTGATGAGAACAAGAGCAAGACACTACGTGCAAATTGCCAACATCCCATGGATGAAAACCGTAGATTGTGGTTTTTATCCGATTTCCCACATCTCGTTAAAACTTTCCGGAATTGGGTAGTGAAGAAGAAAAAATTCACGGTATGTTATATTGCTGAGGCAAATCCCAAATAATTTGATTTCAATCCTAATGATCTGGGATAATTATTTTTTTTCTGCTTGTTACAGACGCCTGATGGAACGGTGAACATCCAACATTGGCGGAATATTTTGATAAATGAACCCGTTTATAACAGCAGCTTGAAAAGTGCGCCCATGTTATCAGAAGCTCATTTGAACCCAGAAGGCTATCAAAAAATGAACGTGCCGATGGCTTTCCAGGTATACCAATCTCTAACTTATCCTTTTCTATATGTATTAATTTCCACATACTTAGCACGCAACGGAACACCTTCATGTCTAAATATTGTGGGGGTCACAATGCAATAAGTGTTTTCCAATTTATATTTGGGTGATAATAATCTGTGCCTCTGTCTTGGATTTAATTTCTGGAACTCGTTAGAGTGCCTATGCTATTCTATTCCATTGAATATTTAGAAAATTGTATTGAAATCATATTCACCCAAATTTTCAGTTATTTTGTGACAAAGTTCGGGTGGCAATGAAGAAACATACTCCCCATGGCAGTGAAGCTTCAGTGGCGCTTTGTAAACGAGTGGATAATTTAATCCAAGCAATGATGTCACGTTGTCCCAGTAATGCTTTACGTAAGGATGGATCACGTAGGAAGGTAATTCACTGACCAATAATTATTAATTAATACCTACTCATTCATCCACCTATTGTTGCTCCACTATGACAATGCCTATCTGATTCCCGTGGAATCAATGTGCATTTTATTCAGTAATCAATCAAGTTTTATGTTCATAAATATACTTGAAAATACTCGCAGGCTATCACGGACTTCCAGTCATTTCTAGCAGAATGGGAAACAGAATGCCAAACTTCCAATCCACGTCAGCAGTGTTTAACAAACGAGACTTTGCTAGGCCTCAAAGTGACACTGCAGGCAACTATTGAACTGTCTGATTATCTTTATGAATGTCACAACTATGACTATCTGATGACGGTTCGACTCAATCAAGATGCACTCGAGGTAATTAATACAGAAGTGATTCCACCTACACGATTTCGTCAAATCTGCATGAATTAATATTTTCATATTTCCACAGCGCTTTTTTGGTATAATGAGATCTGCATGTGGTTGTAATGACCACCCGAATGCTTTGCAATTTGCACAACTGTACAGGCTACTGTGTGTGTACTCACTAGCAAAGCCACCGAAGAACAGCAATATCTCAGGGGGAGAAATACTGCGTACACTCATGACGGTGAAAAATGTATCGAAGACTGCGCCTGAATCAGTGAAAGAGAAATTCATGAAACTTCTAGATAGAGAACTTGACAACATCGAATATGGAACTGATGACAACGAAAATATCCTCAACGAAGAGGAGCCCACCTTCCATGATTTACCTGCGCAACCCCAACTGGATCACAATTACACGGTGCAAAATACCAGTGATGATATTCAAAGCTATGTCGCTGGGTATATAGCACGAAAGGTACTGCGCTATACAAAATGTAAATCGTGTATATCTCACTGCAGATCGTCCACGCCAGAAGAACGGGATGTAATGATAGAAGAATTATCACTTGGATATTTGATCTATCCCAGTTCTAATCTCTTCAAATTGACCAAAGATATTGAAACTATAGTACAAAACATAATGTCCAAAACCACAGTACAATGCGATACAATTCTAAATATAGCTGAAGCAGTGCATGGTGAAGCGAGCAATTTTGTTTTAATTGGATGCAAGGAACATTGCTACGCTTTGACTGGTGAAGTAATTTATTTTTATTTGACAATTCGAGGACATTTCCTAGCCAATTTTTTCAATAAAGAGAATGGGGTTAAAAAGAAGCAAAAGAAGAAATACAAGAAGCTATCGAAGATGACATAGAGATATCTTTGAATCATTAATTGATATTATTCTTATTATGGCAGGGGAATTATAATTTTGTTGTTATTTACTTCTCATAATGTTCATTGATAAACTTGTTAAATATTGTGCAATCACTGGCGAACTTGTAAATAGAATTTCATGTAAATACGTCTCTAAATAACATTATAGTAAAGAAATATATTTTACGTAGAAAGGTATTCGTAGTACTACATTTCCATCTTTTATATTATCTATTGCGCTATGATGATCTATCTTCATAAGCGAAACCTCCAGAATGCATTTCTATAATTCATAGTTTGACAAATACTCGTGGAAACACAACGGTTGCATTCCAGCATTAAATTCTGATAGAACATTTTCTGAATACCAATCTGTTTTACCACACGATCGCCTACCAGCGCCACCACCTGGACAGCTCCTGAGACTGCTGCGTATTGACAAGATTTCCGCGGTCAGACTAACCGGAGTTGGGCCTCCTTTCCTCTATTCTCCATGGTGAAAAGGGGCCAACGTACTGGCGTTCCAACTAGGCGATTCTAGAGACGCTATCGACTTGGACTAGGGACCAACGGCTAGGTGACCCCGCACGGAAAATTATATATTCGGAACATATATAAATAAATGTGTCATGTATATATGCCACATATATTCAACATCTAGATGCATATGTCACATATATCTTACATATATGTGTAATGCAGCATTTTTGGCCGAATTTCATGTATGGAAAATTGTATGTATTATATATACTGCAATTATGCGATTATCTATGCAATATATATGTTATCATATAATCGATACATATGTGATATATGTGCGAGTAGCCAATTCTTATGTATGTAGCATGTTTCACATATATTTCAAATCATATATTTCAATTATAGGCAATATATATGCAAAATATGAGTGAAGCCTTCTAAAATGTTAAATATCAACTTTATACGTCCAATTCATGATTTTCTGCATATTACTATCGCAGCTCTACCTAAATAGTCTATAAATAGAAATTAAATTTTCCTATCAGGGATTCGAACCAATAACCTACGGAGTCGCAACCTAACGCGATATCACAGAGCTATAATTTTTTTTTTAACCATGTTTTTAGTTATTTCACTTGTCGTGCTTTAAATTCATTCAAAAAATTAATTTCGTTTGTAATTTTATTTCTCACTAAATTCGACTTATTCGTTGCCCACCGGACGTTGAGTTGCTGTCGATGCAGCTCAATTTACCGGGCTAGTACGCCACGTGCGACCTTCAAAACCCCAAAATTGCAAACGCAGCGCAACTGCACTGTCGTTTTCGGGCTTTAGATTCATTCTTTTCGAAATTATATTCAGTCTCGCCTTAGATGCCTAATCGGCACGTCAATTAGACCGAACTCCTTGGATCCTCACGCGTTCGTAACATCAGAATCCGTTGATCAGTACTGCCCGACGTACAAGTGATAAAGGATCCAAGTAATTAACAATTGCACAATTACGCCCACCTTCGTAGTGCGCATTTTTGAAGTTGAATTGCTGAACGGTCGATAAGTTGCGAATTACTTATTACGTTTCGGTGGATTTCACTGTGCAAGGACACAATTTATCAAACAAAAGTGCATAGACACATTCTGAAATTATTAAACATTCTAGTGCGAAAGTTATTAAACATTTTAGTGTTAAGTGACATGGATAAAAAAAATTAAACGGTCGTATCATTATTTTTTTTAAATCGAAACTCACTCTGAAAACAACTCTGGATTAATTTAACTATTGGTTAGTATAAAATACGTGAAAGAATCTATTCATTTTGGCTTTTCAATATTTTTCAAAATTATTAGCTTAAAATCTAAATTTTGGATCACTATTCTTTTTGATTCCCTTTTTTTGCGTCGTTCGTATTCTCTTTTTCCTTCGGGTTTATTTCTCTGTATAATGAAAGTCTTTTTAAAATAATAAATTCGAGTATTGTTACTGATAAAATCTTTGTCTTCTAATTGTCTTAAATCCCTAATTTTATTATCATCCTCAACCTCTTCCCGAATGAACGATAGTGGCAGATGCACCTAGTGCTTCAAAGGTAAGGACCAAAAACAAAAATAAATATTATTTTATTCCGATAATTAGAAAATTGATAACTCATTTAATATTTAATTGAATTTGTTATTAAAATTTTCCTGTTATCACACTAAGGTATTTATAATAAGTACAGTTATTGACATAGAAAAAAAAACAGGTATATAAAAAAAAATGATGGGAGATATTGGTTTTTTAAATAAACAATGATCACGGAGTAATGCTCGACTTTAATTATTATCAGTTAAACTAGTATGTTCCCATAACTTTAAGGTGTAGTACTTGCTCTTTTCAGGAGCATCAGATATTAATTGGATAAGCGCTACAAAAAAACAAAAATTTTTGCAGAAAAGGTATAAGAAAAAATTTTTTTTGGATTGTAATTATTGAATAAAAAAAATAGCGTTTTTTAACTACGAGAGGGATAATTGTTAATGTAATAATTATAATTATATTACAATTCGATGGACGAGTGTTGAATATCGATTAATTTATATACGGTTTTTCTTTTTCTAATTTGTTTGATATGAGAATACTGGATTATAATTTTTCAGTTCTTATTTATTAATTTATCTGCTTTAATAAAATTATCGAAAGTATTTAAGGTGGACGGAAATTATTTCTACGAACTCTAATATGAGTTTTATTATTATTTTTGTTTTGGTCTTTGTAAATTTGTTCTCGTATTTTGAGTTCTCTAATAAACTTATCTTCGTCAGTTAACCACCAGTAACCTTTTGTTATTTTGTAAAAGTGGTTTATATCTACTTGAGGGATCTCCCTGGAGTATTTTAACTCCCTGTTTAAGAAATCATCTACTGGGATTTTATTATTTCTTTTGTGCCTTGAAATATGAAATAAGATTGGTTTATTGAATTCATGCTGGAATAAACCAATTTTATCATAATACGTAAAATATTGAGACTTAATATTGCCACAACGAGCTCTACCCAGAGGTTCATGATTATTAAAGTTTGTTAGTGATTTAATTGTTGAATTATCAATTACTTTCATTTTTTCATAATAATTTCTAGCCAGTTTTAAGATGAAATTATCGATTCTGGGAATTTTCGCGTAATCGTACAGGTATTTATTACTGACTTGGTGTTGAAAATTACAGTGGGCAGAACGGTATAAAAATAAAGAGGTTCTCAGACATTTTCTCTCGAAAACTCTGAGGCACTCAATTTGATTGGCCCCCATGTTCCATAGGATCTCGGATCCATAGGTTAGGAGAGATCTAATCAGCAAGAGATAACAGATGACTCTAGCTCTAGTATTAATATATTTGTTATGCACAAGGAAAGCTAAGGATTTATATCTTTTCCTCGCTTTCTCAATTTGTATATCAGTGTGCTTTGCACATCAGACCATATTATCTATATTGACTCCCAAGTATTTCACTGAGTTTCTGTGTGTGATAATTGTCTCTGTATTCGTTTCATTATCTTTTATTTTTATTTCAAAGTTTTTTACGCTGTCTTTTGAAGTTTAGACATGTTCTGTAGGCGGTTTCTGAACAAAATCGTTTCACTTTTATCTGGATTGACCTTAAGATTCCATGCCGAATACATAGCATTAACTTTATTAACAAGGATATTTAAAAATTTATTGTTTCCATTTTTTCCTGAGACATAGAGATGATTCTATCATCAGCATAAGCTATAGAATTAGTACCATTATTTTTATTTAGATCACAGGAGTCGATCATGTGAGCTGTAAAAAGCGAAAATAATATTGGGGAGTCGATTGTGTCTTGTTGTAGGCCTTCTCTCATATGAAATAAAGAGCTTCACGAATTATTATGATTAATAATTTCAAAATTTTTGCCGTGAGTCATATGCCAAATTGTTCTGATAAGGGGGGTGGGGAATTCATTCTTGATTAAGAGGTAGATTAAGCCATTCGACCAGAGTCAAACGCTTTCTCCAAGTCTAGGAGGACTGCTCCTACCATATTGTTGCTGTATAATTCTTCATTAACATCTGAGATCAATTTGTTCACCGCATGTAATGTTGAGTGACAATATCTAAATCCATATTGGTTGTCTGGGATTATCTTCTTTTTATTTTCGGTGTATAATATTGAATTATTGATTACAGCTTCATAAATTTTACTCAGGGATGGAGTCATGCTGATAGGGCGATAGCTGACTGGTTCATTTAGACTTTTTCCGTTTTTATGAATAGGAATGATTAAAGCTGTTGTCCGTTGTTCGAGAAAGTAATAATTATTTAAAGCATTATTAATGATTGTTACCACAGAGCTATCGCACGCAATTCGTAGTGATAGCAATACGCATTGTCTATTTGAAGTATCCAAATCGATTTCAAATCCATTTGGAGTTGATAAATCTCCAACCAATGTCCACTCAATAGTTGACGGGAATTATTCTTCAGAGTTATGAAGCGGGTGATTTAAGGATCGGCTCTGGGAGGGGAGCGGTGCTGAAAATTGAAAATTTCAAGTCATTGAAAGGACCCATCCGGCGACTTCTGATACATGATGAATTCATGTGAATTCGTGGAACATGTGAGATTCAACCCGTTTTACCCCGTGTTTTATCCTGAATTTTCACTTTCCGCATTTGCAATTTTTTCCACAAGTTTCTCAATTTTCATCCGATTAAAAATTTCATTTTATATATGGGTGAGACTCCAACAAATAAAATTGGGCATACATTTTATTTCATTTTGAATAGAATATCTAGCCATTGAATGTTTTGAGACATAGGGAAGAGGGGAAGGATAATAGCACTTCGGTTGTATACAGAAAAAAGGTACGAATACAATCTGGTGTGCCACCGAGTAGATAGGCTGAACGGGTTCTGGATAGTACTTCGCCAAATCGCCACCAGGGGCGCCACCGTCGTGGAAGATTCTGGAATGGTAGCGCCACCGTCGCGGAACGTTCGAGAAGGATGACGTCATCAATGACTCATCAACTCGCGTGGTGGGGGGCATCCCTCTAAGACCTGTTGGGACTTGTATGAAATAAAATGACCTGTTGAAACTTGCATAAAATTGGATATTGGCGCCACAAGCTGTGGAAGGTTCGAGAGGATGACGTCATCGATGAGTCATCGACTAGCATGGTGGGGGAACTGTCCTGGTGGGACTTGTATGAAATATAATTCT